ACTTGCTTTTGCAGTTATCTTCTTCAATTCCAGTAAAGGGAACATAGGAAAGAGAAAAGGAAGAAAACTTGTTGCGTTGTAATTTAATGAAGGGGTGTTTTTGGCCACAGCAGTCACAAAAAGGTTGTGCTAAATTCAACAATAGGTTGAAAGGTATCTAGAACGTAACTGGAATGTGAGAAATGATTTAAGAGAATGAGAGACATCCCCTAATATATTTAAAAATAAGAGAACTCTAGTGGCACACCTCTTAAATAGGGACGATACATTTTAAAAAATTGAAATTTTATTAAGCACTAATTTCGAGGCTAAAACCAAAAAACACCCTCAACTATAAAACTATACTTTTCTTTTACAAATTCAACCATTGGATTTTATTCATTAGATAAACTATAAAAATAAAAGAAAATTGAAAATTTTACTTAATGAGGTATGAATAGATAAGCTTCAAGATTGATCTTTTCTACTCAGTAGTGGTACTTCTTATGTTAGAAACCCTTCATTGCACTTACAAGAATTTGGTTGAGTAAGTATCTATCTATTAATTTAAAATTTTATTTTAAAATTATGATTATATGTTAAAATTTTTATAACATCAAAACAGTTAATTTTTTTATATGCTAAATACAAAAAAGAAAGCCTCCATTGCTAACTATAATATTTTTTTCCCTAAATTATACTATAAATTATAAAGACAATTTTTTTTATTTATTATCTTTTATTTTTTTTATTAACCTCTTTTATCTTCTTATCTTATACGTATCTTAATTGCATTTCATATCAATTAAACAAAAATTTGTATGGTACACTATCATACATGAAAATTTTAAATAAATTTTATATTTTAAACACATTAGTTACTCTCCCCCTATAATAATAGTATAGTTTAGTTTGGTTTTTGCTTTTTAAGACAAAGTTTGAGTGAAAATTTACTAATATACTAGCATATAAATGAAAATTAAAAAATTTTTAATTAAATAAAATTATTAAATAAAAATATATACGGAAAAAAGAGAAAATTTTTAACTAATATTTATTTATTATATTATATTTTGACTTGAATTTTTTTATTTTTAAAATCAAAATAAAGCAACCAAATTTAAAACGGAATGAGTGCAAATGTTATTTTATGAATTAAAAATTGATAAAAAAAAATAGAACAAAATCGCGTCCATGACAGAATACAATCTTCATCGGTTTGAGTATCATATACTATATGCACCAAATCTCTCATATCAGATTTAAATATGCAATGTTTAATATACAATTATTAAGTTAATGTTTTATTTTTTAAGTTGAATGGAGCCACAAAGTTCTGTTGTCATGCATTAGTGTAAGGGCACCGGAATAAATTTGAAATGTTATTTTTTAATACATAAAGACAAAACACAAACAATTATTGAAGATTAAAATACATTTAATCTTCAATTATTTTGAAAAGACAGAACAATGATTAAATCAAATTATATTTCACTGATTTTTTTTTTAAACATAGCTAAAATCATATAAATCAAACAAAGTCATACTGTATTTATAGAAGAAATTTTTATCGCATTAATAAAAACTCATGATAATACAAAGAAGAATATAATTAGAGATAAAATTAAGAATAGATTAAATTTAATATAAAATAAATATAAGAAAAAGGCGATGAATAAATTTATACAAATAACCTTTAAAAAAATTAATTTTTATAAATTCTTTTAATAGAATGTTTTAAAGTAATTGGACATCATTTAATCTCTTTTTGAAACAGATTAGTCTGCTCTCCAAGATATCGTGGTTAGAAAATCCAAACAAGCAACAACCAACCCTTAATATCTTTTTTATTGTCTTGCCGGCTACCAGCAGATCTAAATAAAACAAAACAAGAAAACTAGGAAAAAAAAAACCAAAGACCACCAAAAGGGGTCACAAAAGAAGCGGATGAACCATTCACAGTGATCAATGGACATAAGAGCACGATTGGCCGGCCGGCTCCGCCATGCTCGAGCTTCCGAGCACAAAAAAAATAAATAAATAAAATAAAATAAAACAAAACAAAACTTCGGGAAGGTTCTAGGCAACAGCAAGAGGATTCTAGAATAGTTCACTGGAAACTTAAGAGAAGGAAACTCAATTTCTTTAATTGTAAACAGACAATTTTGGTGATAAGTTAACGTCTTCAGCTCCACCTCAGCTCCATTTTATTTATCACTATATGTACTTTTAAGTTATACTTGTTTTTGTTTATAATATATGAATAATAATTTAAATTTTTATTAAATAAAAATTATATATTAAAAATTTTAAATTATCATTCATATGTGTATATATATCATGGAAAAGTAAAATCTAAAAAAAACATATGGTGCAAGAAAAATTTATCAAAGGTAGTAATTCTTTGATTAAATGTTAATTTTAGCTCATAAATTCTAATTTTTGCATTTTTCATCCTTTAACACTTGGATATGCACAAGAAGTACTATTCTCTAAACTAATTTTGTTATTTAATCTAAATTTTTATAATTAGTTTAAGGAAAAAAATTGTAAAGTTTAAAATTCAAGAATCAAATTGACATTTAACCTAATTTTTTATAGCTAATTAGGCCATAAAATTTTTTTGTTGAAAGCGGTGGTTATATATATATTTTTTTGTATACGGAGAGTATAGTAATTGAATCTTAAATTCATAATTAAAAAAGTATATAATTTCATCACTAAATTACATAATTAATAATATTATTTTTATAAAATTAATAATTTTAATAATAAAAAATATAAAAGGAAAAAATACACTTAATTATTTTTAAACATATTCTTATTAGTTATTTAATTTTAAACAACAATAGCTAATTATTGTATAACTAAACAATTATATTAATTGAATCTGTTATCTACTATCCAGTACTTGCTTTTCATTATTTGTCATTTGCTATCTGTTAACCGCTACTTGCTACTACTATTCACTATCCGTTACCGCCACTGCTATCCGCTAATCGTTACCCATTATTCGTTGAATTTTAACCATTATACCAAACATGATCTAAGCATCTGTTTAATATAGCGATTAAAATTTAATAAGTAATAGGTAGTGGGTATGTAGTAGATGGCAAATCATAGAAAATTAATAGCGAATTTGATTAATATAACT